ACTGCTAATTACCACAGAACTGCCCAATTTCTGCTTTCTCTGCATCTGTATTTGGAGAATAGGTTGACTTGCTTTGAATTTAAATTGAGATTATTCTATTTGGGGACATCTATAGCCAAGCACTGACTTTTTAATATTTTTGTTAATAATTAATAATTCTTTACTTCTCTGAATTGTAAACAGGTTTTTAAATTTTTTATCTATATTAATTTTATAAATAACTCAAGATGGCAAACATACCTAATACTCCTTCCTCAACTACCACCTTGTGAAATGGGTTGGGCTGAAAGAGTGTTTGTCTGTCCCAGAAATCACCCATTAGCTTTCATGTGTAAGGCATGAATTTTGTAAAATTGGATAGTATTCTATAAATATAGTAATTTAAGTTCTTTAACAATGTAGATTTTTTACCTTCTGGTGACTGGAGCTGTGGAACAGACTGAGGAGGCAAAGTTAGAGCTACAGACTTGCTTTGATTGCATAGACCTGAGTGTTTTTGAAGCTGCTTCAGCAGACTTGGATGAATTTGCTGATATTGTGAGATCATATATTAACTTTTGTGAGGGCATGTGTATGCCTACCAAGAGCTAGGGTACACATAACAACAATAAGCCTTGGTTTACAGCAAAGCTTAAGCAGCTCTGTTACACCAAAGAGGAGAGCTACGGGAAAGGAGATAGGATCTTGCATAATCATGCCAGGAATATATTAACGAGTAGTAGTAAACAGAAGCTACTCCAAAAAAAATGAGAAATCAGTTCGCAGTTAATGAACCTGCAATTGTGTGGAAAAGCCTGGAATATCAATGGTTACAACAGACTTCCTCCCCCTTACTGAAGAATATTGTCAACTGGCAGATGACCTGTTTGTGTTCTACTGTAGGTCTAAGAGGAGATAAATATCACCTACCACTATCTATCAGACTTCAGATACAACAACAGTAGCTAATTGCCACTCTCACTTCCTCTAACTCCAGTTATGCAACAATTCCTATTCTATGATGGGGTGGTACAGCATTTCACCTGGAATCTTTATGGGTTAGAAGAAGAACATCCCTTTATGCCAAGAACAATCTTTTAAGCAAGTGAGTGTTACCCTTTTTAACATGATTATCAGACCAAATGTAGTTTTGGACTGAATGATATTAGGACAGAAATGAAGAATAAAGATTTTTATTTTAAGAATGACAACTCAGAAAAAGCTTCAGAAATGGGTATCTGAAGTTGAGATTTGTATATCAAAGCTAGCAATTTTTAATGACCTGGAGCAAGTGGAGGGACAAGGAAGGGTAATACAAATTAAGGTTATATTGCTAAACTCTTTTAACAGCACTGAAATGAAAATTTAAAAGTAGTTTGCCTATTTGTCTTTACATTCCCTGATAACTTTACCTTATTAATTGCAGTTATTCCAAGGCTTTGGGAGGGAAAACCTGAATTCAAGGTCCAATCAAACAAGAAAAAAAATCTAGTTCTTAAGGACTAGAACTCTCAGCCAAGACCGCCTAGCACAACAGAAATGTCTAATTTCTTTTCATCAGGATCTTACTGGTCAAAAAGCCCACAGGAAATTGAAAAATTATACTAAGAATACTATATATTTGACTTTCTAGAAGAAAAGAGATAAAAATTTGAAATTATTCCCTTGATCCAGTTTGCTTTTGTTGACAATCTAGAGACACGAAGCAGATGCAGACATTTAATTCCTGGAACCACCTTTCAAAAGTCATAATAAGAGTTGCGTCTATTCTTTTGGCCATCAAAATTCCTCAAAAACATATTTCATATATTATAAATTGTCCCGTCCTGCTCATGCTTGCAGAAGAGACCTACTGCAGACCACATCAGGCAAGGTATTTTGGTTAGTGGGATCCAGAACAAGAATCTTTTCTTCCATAGTCCCTGCACTTTGGAACATCTTGCCGCAAGAGTTGAGACCCCACCCCCCTTTAGTCTTCAGAAAAAGCCTTAAAATTTGTTTATGCCGACTGGTATGGAGTCCTGAAGAAACTGCTAGCTGGAGGTACATTAATTGAAAAGGCACCCCATCTTTCCACTCAAAACCCTTGTTGTTTTTAGCTTATTTTATTTTTTTTGTAATTTTTTTTTATTGTCATATTAGTAGTCCTCAACTTATGATTACCACTGAACCCAAAATTTCTGTTTCTAAGCAAGACAGTTGTTAAATGAATTGTGCCTCATTTTACAACCGTTTCACCACAGTTGTTAAGCGAATCACTGCAGTTGTTAAATGAATTGTACCAGTGGTGGGTTTCAAAATTTTTTAGAACCTCTTCTGTAGGTGTGGCCAGCTTTGTGAGAGTGGCTTGCCAGCCATGTGACCGGGTGGGAGTGGCTTGGAAGTCATGTGACTGGGTGGGCATGGCCAACTTGTAAAATGTGATGAAACTCACTTAACAACGCTCTTGCTTAGCAACCAAAATGTTGGCTCAGAAACTCTGGCATTTGAAGCACGCAAGTCTTAAAGCTGTCAAGTTACAAGGACCCTTGCACCCCTAACCCTTTAGAAAAAAAACTCAGGGATGTTCAAATTTGACAGCTTTAAGACTTTAAGGTTTAGATAGGACTCTTAGAGGCGGCCAGGGCGATTGAGGGACCAGCCAATCAGTGAGCGGCGGGCAGGGCAAGCATGGCACAAATGGGTAGGGGGAGGGAGCTGGAACCAGTTCTAAACGGCACGGTAGATTTGTGGAACCTCTTCTATAGAAGATGTTATAACTGGCAGGAACCCACCCCTGAATTGTACCTTTGTTAAGCAAATCTGGTTTTCCTCATTGACTTTGCTTGCTGGAAGCTGATTGGGAAGATTACAAATGGTGGTCACATGAATTGGGTCAATACAGCTGTCATAAATACATGCCAGTTGCCAAGTTCCTGAATTTTGAACATGTGACCACAAGGAATGCTGCAGTGATCATAAGTGTCAAGAACCAGTCCTAAATCACTTTTTTCCAGAGTTGTTCTAACTTCGAATGGTCACTAAATGAATAGTTGGAAGTCGAGGACTATCTGTTAATTGTTTTGGTATTTGTTTGTTTTATTGCATTGTAAGCCTCTTAGAGTCACTTTGAACTGCGAGATGGGCAGCATATACATTTAATAAATAATTCATCCAAAAATACATCATAATTATATAAAAGAAATATTTTACAAAACCTTCTAAGTTAGCAGTGATTTTGCAGAATTTTTCCTTTGCATTTCTTCTGGCTGTCCTCTTACCCACTGTTCCAAATGACATCTTCTGCTGCTCTTTCCAAAGAAATAAATCTTTTTTTCTTAGATTTAGTTTTTCCTACAATTTTTGTTTCAGTCACAAATTAGTACAATGTTTCATCCAGTGGTCTAAGCCTGTTGTTGTTGTTGGTTGCGAAGTCGTGTCCGACCCATCACAACCACATGGACAATGTTCCTCCAGGCCTTCCTGTCCTCTACCATCCCCTGGAGTCCATTTAAGCTCACACCTATTGCTTCGGTGACTCTATCCAGCCACCTCATTCTCTGCCGGCCCCTTCTTCTTTTGCCCTCAATCGTTCCCAGTGTTAGGCTCTTCTCCAGTGAGTCCATGTGAGCCAGTACATGCACACAATTTAATGCAAACATCCTTAAGCATTTTGTTTCTAAGCATCCAATCTGGAGATATTCTTGTCTCGACAAGATCTAGCACATTCGGCACAATTCATAAACATCAGAAATAAAGAAAAAACAGCACAGTATGTGTAATCTTTCTCATATGTTCTTTATCAAAAGGCATCTCTGTGATTTATGTTTACCTCTCCACTAGGCCCATACTGCACAGCATTAGCTCTATCTCATCTCTCATCCATTTCCTTGCTCTTTGGAAATGCTGTCCTTTCAGACAAACAAAGAATTAAATGCTGTTTTTAAACTCTCAAAGTAGATTTAAAAGGTCTATCAGGCCACTTTTGACAAATAGTGGCAAATAGCCTCAAGGGAATCTGAATGATGAAGCCAGATCCAAAAGGCAAGAGTCTAAAATCAGGGATGGAACACTCCATACGGTAGAGATTGAACTTCTTGAGTGGTACTGTGGCATTCTAGAGTTATCTGAATTCCCAATTACAGTAGATTTTGACAAGCCCCCAAAAGCCAGCAATAAACCAGGATATGACAAATGGCTATTCAACTTTTTTATTTTCTGCGGAGCAACATTTTTGCAAGAGGAAGACTGCGTAATGCAATAGGCATTGAAAAGCCAAGAAGGAACCTGTTCATATCTTAAAAAACTCTCGTGTATCCTTGGATAATCTCACCTATAATCTCACTTGAAGATTGGGCTATTTCAGAGAGCTGCTTTAAATGCTACCGTGATAATATCTCAGGCACTTTGAGTTATAGAAATACTAAGAATTTAGGAAGGTGTAATTTCAGTTCTTAAATGCTGTCAGGATATAAATGCTACTTATGAATAAACTAGGGACTGCTAATTTTATGGTGGCATTATTAGTAATCATAGATTATGCAAAAGTTATGGGGGGGCATAATCCTTTTCTGCAAAGTGTTCTAGCAATAGCATAGATGATCATTTTAGTTCATTCAAACTAAAACTTCTCCAAGAAAAATTGCCTGACATACTAGGGATATGCTACGTAACAATGTGAACATGTTCTCCATTAAAGCGCTAAATTCTTTCTTTCATCTAGTTCTGTTTCCATACATGTGGACACTACCTCACTGAGAAAAGATTTTATAGCCTTTGTGATCCATGGGAAATGACAGCTTTTTGCTTCATTAATTCCTCATTTTACTTACATTTTTCCCCACAAGAATGACTGGCAATTTTCTCCTCTTCAACATCATTACTGCATTTCTAAAACCTTTCTACATAAATTAAGGCTTTGCTTTTAAAGCAACATGGAGTGTGCTTGCAGGCTGAAAAAGCAATCTCTTTTTTGCAAACAGTAACATTCAGGCAATGAACTAGAGAAGCAATCTTGCTCCAATTAAAAGGTTCTAATTTACCTGGCTCCAACAATGAGTTGATTCCTATTGGCATCTAGAGCAAGCTGAGAGAAGTCCCGTACACCAGAGTATGTGAAATTTGAAACCCAAGGCTTCAGATCTGAAAAGAAAAATGAAAAAATATAGAGGAAAAATGACATCACTGGTGAGCAAAATTTCCACATAGCGTTCAAATAATGGATCTCCGACAGAGTACCGTTCAATATGTGGATAATTAACAATCTATAAAATTCCACTTTGATATAATGGGGGAGGTGGTCCACTGAGATAGCATCTACTGAAGCAAGATTTGTTGGTTTTTTTCTAATTAATTCTAATAAAGTCAATTCAATGGTCAGTCTTCTAATCTATGTAGTAGGTAATGGAAAGAACTGACTGTAGCATCATATCTTACTATCAAACGTTGGGCAAAGGCTATTTAATGGCAGAAGTTTTTATGGAAATCATTATTATTCCTGTATAAAACTTTTTTAAAATTAAAAAAAAATCCCACTAGCAGGAATGGGGAGTATTCATTAGAAACTACAGAAAGACATGGAGATCTAAATCTCCTGTAATGCAAGAGGCTTTGGTTTCCTTGTGTTAAAAACATTAAAATGTTTGAACCTCCATCCTCTCTGAATGGCAACTTTCCTCAAAAAAAAATAAATTGGATCACAATTATTCTTAAGGGTTAGTCATAAGGAAATTTGACAGATAAGACTTTCTGTGCACTCTAAGATTTTTTTAAAAAAAAACCTACACTACCACATATAAACATAAGACATAGAGTTCTATTAAAAGGCCTTGAAGTGTGCTTTAGTTAGCATTTGGTTTATAAAGGATCTGACCAAGATGGAACAAATGAAGAAGTAAAAGAAAACAACAATAACCCGGTGCATTAATAGAAAAGATGACAGTTTCAAGATAATACAAATTCTGCTCGTTTCCTGTTTTTCCAGTTAGATAGATTTATTTAAGGGGAAGCAAAAACAGTAAAATATGATATTTCTAAAAGAGATGTTTACTCTCAAATGATTTTAAGATGAAGCCTTAACTTTGTATTCTTTGGGAAAAGATGCAGTGTATGTATAAAAAATCCAACCCTATGCAACAACCTTAAACACATGAACCATAAAAATAGAAATACTTATGAAATTATTTTCAGGATTACCAACTGACATTCAAAATGTTACCAAAGATTGTTGTGTGTGTGTGTGTGTGTGTGTGTGTGTGTGTGTGTGTGTGTGTGTGTGTGTATTTTAAAGGTGTTATTTCCTGTAGGAAAGAAATAATCCAATAAAATTAACTTTCAGGTTGCTTTATCATTAAAAGAATAGAAGAGGTTTTGGCTTTTAGCTTTTTCCATGGTATTATATGTAGGATAACACTTGTGTATTCAATTTATATCTTGTCTTTCTGCTCAGATGAGCACTTAAGGCAGCTAGTATAATTAAAACACATGCAGGCACAGTGTAAAGATTACAACTAAATGTTTCCAATACTAAAACAATTAACAACCAAAAGCTTGATTAAAAAAGATGGGTCCTTACAATTTTTTTAAATGCTGAGAGAAATGGGTCAAATTTCCAGGGAGTTAAGAAGCTGACTATGGGTGTGTGGTTATGTCTGGGTGTCCTTTAAAGAGGCACATTTTAACGTTAGTTCTTAATGGTAGAAACGTTATCTTAATCCCATGGGGATTTCACATTTAAGAGCTGAAATGAGCAAACAACATTTCAGGATATCATATGGTACCTGTATCTTGCAATGTTTAGCAGCATTCCATTTTACACCACCACCAATTATTAGATATTTTTCATGGTTAGTTCCACAGAAAAATCATGACAGTAGTAAAAGATGGGTACATCTAAAACACAGATAATAGTCATCAAATTTGCTAGGGCCCAAACCTTACCTGTGTGAAAGAGCTGCCTATTATAGTTGCTCCTTATGACAGTTGAAAATCACATCCATTTGTTCAAAAGGAGAACTTCCACCCCCAATAATGTTTATTTATCCACAGTTATGTCCAGATAATTTGGACATAAACTGTTCCAACACGTTATCAAATTTAGGCCATATTTTAAGATCTTATCTGATTATCCATCTGAGCTGGATCGTAAAGTGGTAGGATGGTAGAGCCTATTATTAACCTTCTAATGGCAATTTACTCAAAAGCTCCCAATGACTTTCTGTACTACAGATTTACGTGAAAAAGAAACTTAATAAGGTCTTATTATTACCAGTAGTCCTCAATTTACAACCACAATTGTTATCAGAATTTCCATCACTAAGCAAAATGGTTAAGTGAATCATGTCCAATTTTATTGTCTTTGTTGCCATTGTCATTATGCAAATCTGGCCTCCACTGAATTTGCTTGTCAGAAGTTGACTGGGAAGGTATAAATGGTTATACATGAACCTGGAACACACCAATTGTGATATAAACATCCCAATGTACCCAAATTTTGATTAAGGTAAAGATTCCTCTTGCACATATGTGCTAGTTGTTCCCAACTCTAGGGGGTGGTGCTTGTCTCCGTTTCAAAGCCTAAAAGCCAGCGCTGTCTGAAGACATCTCCATGGTCATGTGGTCGCCATGACTAATTGCCGAAGGTGCACGGAACGCTGTTACCTTCCTACCAAAGGTGGTTCCTATTTTTCTACTTGCATTTTTACATGCTTTCAAACTGCTGGGTTGGCAGAAACTGGGACTAGTATTGGGAGCTCACCCCGTTACATGGTGCTAGGGATTTGAACTGCTGAACTGCCGATCTTTCTGATTAACAAGCTCAGCGTCTTAGTCACTGAGCCACCACGTCCCCGAAATTTTGATTACATGAGTGCAACAGTTGTTAAGTGTGTGGATTGATTTTAAGCCACTTTTTTCAATGCTGCTGTAACTTTGAACACTCACTAAACAAATGGTTTGTAAGTTGTGGACTACCTGTATATGACACTTCTTGCATATAAAAGCTTCCATAATCAACATGATGCAGATCACACAGAAACTGCAAAATGATGCTAGATAATTTTAAAATCATGATGAAGGATGCTGTAGGAGTCTTGAAACTATTTGCAGAAGCCAGAAAACCATCAACTGCTAAAACAGGAGAGCCATGAATTTAGCAGTGTGTATGTCACAATATACTAAATCAGAGACAGAAACCTGTGATTTACCTGACATATGCAGCTCCACCCCATACACCAAATTTAAGCTGCTAACATTTGACAAAATGGTTGATTCTACTAGCACATTTTTTTTGTTATGTCCGTTTTGCAAACTAAAGGATAAGACTGGAGACAACCACTGGGAGGCCAGTTGTTTCAATGCCCAAATGTTAACCATCTCTCCCTCAGTTGTCATCTTCTAGGATCTCCCTACTCCCTTTCCTGCCCTCAAATCATCTCCCTGTAATGTTATTGCAGTCTCCTGTGATTCTCTAGAAGACTGGGAATCCAGATGCCAGATATAACCCTAATGTGACAAACCCTCCACAAAATAGTGTTGCAAATTATTATTCGCAGTATTCACAGGTGTCCTTCGGCTCTTCTTAATACAGTACAAAATAAGAGTCATGAATATCACTAACTAGAGGATATTGCAAAACTATTAGAGAATATTAGAGGCTATTAGAGAATAGCCAGACATTTCATTTTTTTCATCCAACCTTTCATCCAATATCCATATAATGACACATACACATGCATATACAGCGTGTGTGTGTGTATGACATTATGGTTATCTTTTTTACATTAGAAATGCAGAACTAGAAGCTCTTTCTAAGCAGAATTTAGTAAATCCTTAATCCCAAAGAGGCTTGTTTTAGATCTACGATGTTTTGGGGTCTGAAAATTCCTTCCTTTAGATTGCAATGTGAGTCTCTCTGTTTCAGAATTCTCCATCCATGGGCATGAATTTTTCGAGCTGTTGCAGTCATAAATTGAAACAAGGAAGTAATGAAGACTAACTCATCAAGGCTGACCTGAAACCATCCTTCTCCAATCCATCAGGATTTGCCAGGACATTTAGCAATATGCAAACCCACAACAGATGCCAAAATACCACCAAGGTATTCTCATAGCTTATTAACCTTCTTTTTAAATTCTTTAATATAAATTTATTTCAAACATGGATCTGTCAGAGCTTAATAATCAAAATCTGCATGCATTAGACAGGAGAACAAGATAATGCATTCTCTAGAAGTTTGGGCAATTTTGTTCTTTGATCAAAGGGTCATTTCAAAATAATGAAACATTTTATGGATCCTATTTTAAAGCTCCAATTTCTCTTGTCATTTCCAATGGACTTCTATTCTTTCTTTCTTTGACAAACTCATTTTGAAAAGGCAGCAGAAAATGTAACGCTGTTCCTACTCCTTTGTTTTTCATTTGGCACACTAGCTTAAGAGGTTTCCCCATTATCTCTACCTTTAAACAACAAACAGTATAAAAAAGTTACAAGTAAAGAATTATGGGGTGAAAAATATGTGCACTGTAGGCAGTTCAGTTCTCCCTATGACAGTTTAAAATGATAGTCAAGGCAGAGAAGTAACAGGTAACTGCCCTGAGTTCTACTTATTGCCATGGGTGGCAAAGTATATAAAGAATCCCTTTTGATTGCTAAATTAAAGGCTTCATGACACTTCATAGATTTAAACCTTTATAGAGTTGGGAGATGATTAAACACAGCATGTCTTTCCCTGATAGTCCAAACTACCAGTTACTCCAATTCACACCATCACCAGGCTTTCTGCACTCATGTGATTCTCTGAGGGGAAAGAGGATCAAACATGACAGCTATGAACTAAGCATTTTGGGGGGGGGGGGCGCCCCATATTATATGTCACTGCCAAATGCCAAAGACATCTTGGGAATGAACACATAACTTGTATCTAGAAGAACAAACATCACATGTATCAGATGACTTTACCTTTCTACGGTAGATGAAATGTACATATAGGAATTGAATGAACTCTGACATACTTCTTGGAGAGGCAGCTTTCTTTACCTCCATTTCTTTATTTTTTATTTCTGTCCCCTTTTAGAGCAATGCCTTGATTTTGACTAAAGGCCTTAAAAAACAGACCCATTTACCTAACTCCTTATAATTCTCAT